GTATGAGAGCACTCTCATAATAACGTAACACAATCAGAGACTGGATATATCCCCCCCCCCTGGGGGGAGTGGACCTAACACCCTCTAGGGGGGTTCTCACCTCCTCTAGGGGGGTCCAGGGGCATGCCCCCCCCCCCCGAGAAGATTTTTTTTTTAAATATTGAAGTGAAAAGCATCAATCTGGTGCACAGAGAGCAAAATGAAGAGATCTATGGATCTACGTGCTCCTTGCTTGATTCATGCCTTCCCAGTCCCTTATCACGTAGCCTATAAGGGAATGGCGCCAGTTGTTGTAGCCAGTTGTGGTGAAGGCATCTGACTTACTTGAACCGAAATGTCTACATGCAGAAGATGGCATATTTTTTACATGAATATTCAGCCAATCTCTGTTTTGAAACCATGAGCTGCAAAATGAGCGCACTGTACAGGCGAGTTGGATACTTTTTTAAATATACCTGCAGGCTCTGTTTTGCAGAGGTCCTCTGGCACTTGCGGGCCGCTGAGGGGTGGTGGTGTTTGGTTTTCAAATGAGGGTGCATAACGACTCAACTGAGGGTGCAATGCACCCCTATGCACCCCCGTAGAACCGGGCCTGATTATGTGCCACATTTCTTTCTATATTGTAGCCTGATGTACACATCGACTGTCAACAAAACAGTTTCTCAGTCCAATGCTAAGTTAGTGGCAGGCTCTGTGTGACTGGAAGGCTACAAAAAACCCAAACATGTCCTTAATGTTACTCAAAGCAAATATATGTAATATAACCGTTAGACTGCAGCTAACTGTGGGGCTACACACCCCTCATACTGTGAGTGAATAACTTGAGATGGTTATGTTGTCTAAAGGAGAGACAATCATTATGGTATTAGGCCATGCAAATACAGGGTCAACTTAGTGATAAAATAAGTGTTGTATAATATATGTCCTTAAATAATGTTATTTCATAAATAGTTGTTAATGTAATGATTACATGTTCTCCTTATTCAGTTCCACTATCAGATGATGCTGATGGTGATGGCCCTGAGGGAGAGATGCAGGCAGAGCTCAGTGGACAGAACTGGCAGGTACAGAGGAAACTGTTTCAGTAGGCTATGACTGACACTGAACAAAACCAAAGGAAATGTAATGACAACAGTATAAGGCATATGTACGCCTACTGTTTGTGGATTTCAGCTCGGCTTTTAACACACTGCAGCCTCACATCTTGCTTCAAAAACTGATAAAGATCAGTATACATCCTTTTATCTTGAAATGGTATTTTTCGTTTTTAACCAATCGCACTCAGCATGTCAGGGTCAACAATGCCCTCTCAGAGCCCCGGACCATCAGTACAGGAGCCCCCAGGGTTGTGTGAGCCCCCCGGTCCTCTTCACACTGTACACAAACGACTGTACGAGAATCCACCCGGAGAATTATATCATCAAATGTTCAGATGATACAGCCATCCTTGGCTTAATGCACAAAGGCAGCAGTTCATCGGCTTATCACTCTGAAATAGAGATATGTGTGCAGTGGTGAGATTTTAACCATCTAGTGCTGAATGTGAAGAAGACTGAGGTGATGGTGTGGGACCCAAAGGCAGTGGGTGACCTTAGGCCGGTGGTTATCCACAATGAACCCATAACTCAGGTCAGCTCCTATAAAGTACCTTGGTGTCCATTCTAGATAATACACTCAGTTGGAAGGTGCATGTTCAAGGTCTGTGCTCTAGACTTCAACAGCGATTGTACTTTCTGCGTCGACTCCGGGCTTTCGGAGTCGACCAGAAGTTCATGTTACTGTTCTATCATGCAGTGTTGGAGAGCATCATTAGGTATGGTGTTACTGCCTGGTATGGTAACTTGACAGTGCAGTCAAAGTCACAGATCGCTCGCCTGGTTCAGACTGCTATGAAAATGATGGGGGTTAAAAACACCCATCTCTCCAAAACATATACGAGCAGTCCATTATCAGACAGGCAAACAACATTGTGTCTGATCCCACCCACATACTCCACCCAGAATTCCAGCTCCTACCTTCTGGTAGAAGATGCAGGGTTCCCAAGAGCAGGCTGAACCGCTATAAGCACTCATTCCTAACTATGTCCATTAAGCTTCTTAACATTCACATGAAATGAAATGTACTTTTTAAATGTTGGCCATGAGGGTAGTGCAATAGGTCGCCATTGTCAGTATGTGCATCTGTGTATTGTGTTTGTTCAGACGGTGTATGACTGATACATGTCTCTTAATGTCCACTATGCTTGTATATGTCCATGTATGCGGAACTGCAGGACGGAGTCCAGAACAAATGTCCTTACGGGGACAATAAAGTATATCGTATCGTATAAGCAAGCTGTTCATGTTCTCTCAATAAGTTATTATAGTTATTGATCAGAGTTTAATCCATCCCAATGCTGGTTCTTATTCAGTACCAGCAGATTCTGAGGAGGTTGACAAGACAAGTCAAGATTCAGGGTCCAGCACAAGGGAAATTGCAACTGAGGAGAAAGACAGCGAAAGAGACAGGAAGTTGACACAGAGAGGCCTTTTGATTATTGTGCTCGCCCTCAGCCAACCACCCGCTACAAACTTCCAAGAAAGCCATTCCCAAAGGTATTCCACAGCAAGATGGGACAAATAGAAAGTGGTTAACTTACTGTGAATCATCTCACTCTCTATATTGCTCGCTGTGTCTCATGTTTGCCTGGCATGCCAGTGACAATGCTTTTGTGAAAGGAGGCCTGCAGGCATGGAAGCATGTTCACCAGAGAATTGAAGAGCATGAAAGGAACGGGTTGCATCGAGATAGTGCAGATGCATATTTCCTGAGAGCAAGCAGAGCTGATATCAGTAGCCTATATACTCAAAGTGCACCAGATTGATACATTTAACTCCAAAATAAAAAACTAATCTTCCTGGGGGTGCATGCCCCCGGACCCCCCTATAGGATTTGAGGTCCACCCCCAAATAAAACATGTTCACATGGAAAGGTTCCCAAATACATATGCACACTTTTTTTAACAATATCCTATGTCCATATGTTTCTAAGTAGTAGATTTAAACTGTAGGGCTATCACTAAGGGAAACAACGTTGTAAATATTGACGATACATCCAGCAAAACACCCCCAACAAAAACTGGTAGTGGCCTGGCTGGGTGTATCATTTCCGGCCTGACCTATGGTCCCAGTCCGGCCCTGCTGACACACACACACACACACACACACACACACACACACACACACACACACACACACACACACACACACACACACACACACACACACACCACACACACACACACACACACACACACACACACACATTACTGATTAAACTGATATCACAATTGAGTTACTTTCTTTAAATAAATATACTGTAATTGGAAAATAATCATGTGGTATCCTTGTTTTGTCCGTCCTTGAGCCAGGGCTCCTTATTGTTGTATGTAGGTTATTCTTGGTTTTAGAATGAATTCAGTAACGGTGTGTGTGTAACACAAACATAACAAATCATTGGATAGTGTTTCTCAAATGAAGGGGGGAAATAATGAAATAAAGTGATTTATTAAGACAAGTTATTACTTTCTTCCTTTACTTGGCATTCTTCAAAAATACACAGACATTGCACCACATCGTTTCACGTCTTCAAAGTCCTCCTCATTACTCACAAAGCCCTCAACAATCAGCCCCCCCCCTACCTCAAAGACCTGCTGCACCACCACGCCCCTTCCCGCTGCCTCCGCTCATCAGAAGCCAACCTCCTATCTATCCCCACCCGCATCAATCACCGGACCTGGGGGGACAGAGCCTTCTCCGTCGCTGCCCCCTCCCTCTGGAACTCACTCCCCCATCAGAGACTGCACTGACCTCACCACCTTCAACACACTCACAAAAACTCACCTCTTCAATCTGGCTTTTAATGTGTGATTGTTTTTGTATTATTTGACTTTAACTTTAACTATATATTTATTTGTTGTTCCTTACTTTTCTTTTCCCTTCACTATATCTGTAAAGCGTCTTTGAGCACCTGTAAAAGCGCTAACAAATTAAATCTATTATTATTATTATTTGTGCAGCCTTTCTCAGCAGCAGAGTAATGGCGAACCTTTGTTTCCTCCTGACAGCTCACTTAAAGGTATACTCAATTCAATACAATGGCTTTATTAGCATGACCTCAGTTACATATAGTATTGCCAAAGCTCTGTTGCAACATCTATACAAAATATATGCTCCCCCTTGTGGCCAAAGGGGGACACAACTCGTGTCTTCAGATGTATGCTTGAGTGCAGCAAAATATAGCTCAGTGATTATTTTGTCAACTTAGCATCATAAAACAATACATATTTTATTAAACGGGACATTATAATCTCCGCACATTAACTCTATATTTTCCTCTGCCATGGGGCCAAAATGAAATGAAATAAAATAAACAAATAGGGGTTGCTTCTTCTCTGTACTTCTATGTATACTGCATCCCTCCATATCAAATAAACCATAAACAAATACATAAAGTCGTGTTCACTGCAGCGATCTATTTCACACACAAAACTATGAAATATTGGTGTAGCCTATAGGCCTATATATGATATACAGTGGCGTTTTCTCCTGGAGACCAAGGGAAGACAGGCTTCTCCTGTTTTTTCAGCCTTTGTTATCATTTAGATAATTACAAATATATATTCTTGTCTGTGGTTGTTGACAGGTTTCACTATAACTCAAACAAGATCAGTTCCTCTGATTATTCCGTTTGGTTCACCATCACGCTCCATAATAAGCTTCCGCCTGGTGTCGTTGAGCAAAAACACGCCTTCTTCTTTTTGGTGGCTAATTCAAAAATAGCATCTGTGAGGAAATGAAGCACTATCATTGGTGCAGATGATGACACAGCAGGATCTCTTCAACGGGACGTGTTCAGGGCATAGAACATTTAAATGGGGCTACTCGGATTATGGGCAACTCGGATAGTTCACAGAGGATCATCGCATATTCAGTCGGTTTTTACCTTTGACATCAATATTGCCATTTTTGTTTTTAGATCGTCTTGACTTTTGTAATATCTCTCAACTCATGATGGCAGCCGAATGCCATTTTCCAATGATGGCAAACGCATTTGAAAATGAGCGCGAAGTAACTTTGAATTACATAAAAACTTTCGATGATATGCGTATTATATGCTGCTTCTATAGAAGCAGCGATTTTGTACATTTATTTAAATATTTATGTTGTTTTTGTTACTTTTATGTTGCTTTGTTCAGCGATGGACACGGAAGGATCTAATATCAAGTGACATGGAGGAAGGCTGTTATGGATTTATTAACATTTAAAGTGAGGTGGGTTGCTTTCAAACATCTATCCATACACTGTATAATGAAGTTATTATAGTCTGTGTTGTAGCCTATCATAGACCACGGGTAGGCAACCCTCGATTATTGAGCCTCTGCAGTGTAACGTTGACCCAAAAGTAACCTGGAAACAGCTATATTTTATGTGGCACATTGGACCATTCTGTATAGGAACGGCGTTTATCTTGAGTTTAGTGGAACATGCGTCACAATTTAAATGTATTTAAACGATAAACGGCAGATTTTATTCCCCGGGGCTAAATCAACAAATAAAAAGTGCATGTATAGATTAATTTGCTTTCTGCCAACCATGCTGGCTCACCTTGCCTGACCTATATTATGTGTGTGTGTGTGTGTGTATATATATATATAAGAGCCTGATCTCACCAGATTGCGTGACTCCACCACGACTCCTTAACAACACATTGCTTGGTGAAGTCACCACGCCAACAACCCCAATAAGTGAATGAGGTCTTGGTCGTGGTGCACACACTCATTTCTACAACGTCCTGCAGTGAGCTTTGTGTTCTATAAAACGTTTTTAAAATCTATTTTATAGCTTGTAGTAACTCACGGGAGGCTTCTTTTATTTTATTTGTATTCATAATCATTTGTATTTTTCGTCAGAATGTAGGCCTATTATGGCGCATTAGTTACCAATGTTTGTTCTCAAAAAACAGTGCATTGTGTGTCACGCATTCTGGTGAGATCAGGTTGGACAAAGGAGCCTCATTCACTTTGCATTGGGGTTGTTTGCGTGGTGCCGACACGTAAATGTAACAAAGTTAGTGACTCCACCAGGCAATGAGGAGTAAGGACTAAGGAGTCGTGGTGGAGTCACGCATTCTGGTGAGATCAGGTTGATATATAAACCAGGGGTATCAAACTCATTTTCATCGCGGGCCACATCAGCATTATGTTGCACTCAAAGGGCCAGTTGTAACTATATAAATATACATAGGCTATATAAATATATAATATAGGCCTACATAAAATAATGTATTATATTACATTATTGCCTCTGCATTGGATTATTATGGGATAGGGTAATAACTTAATAACTATACGTCTGGAAGCAGATTGTGGGACATGTAGTTTATGGGCAACGTGCTTCTGTAAATCGGCATGTGACCATATAATATTATATTCTTTGCAAGCTCTTGCTACATAAAATGAAGTTGCGGGCTGGATTTGGCCCCCGGGCCTTGAGTTTGACACCTCTGTTTATGCAACACTTTATGCATTTCTCTCTATTTTGCTCTAGAGAAAAAAAACGTTTTATATATTAAACTTACATATGTGTGCTTATTGCATAACATTTCAAGATACATATGACAGATTGTTCACAATATAGGTTACATTTGAAAAGAAAAAAGGCTTGCAACTGACCGTAACCCAGGAAAGTTGCAACATGTTTAATGTACATTCAATTTCAATAATTAACTTTCACTTTATGACTTAATGAGCAAAGTGGTAATTGTTCTAATTATTCTTTTACAATAATATTATAGTTTTATTTATTTATATAATAATGTACATGTTTTCAGCTTATCAGCTGATAGATATTCATCAGTTCAGCTTCTATATTTACCTTTAGAGGTCAAATAATTGTTGGCTGTTTGCAAACTCCTTGTACAAATGTGCTTAATTTACATTGGTCATGCCAATAAAGCTTCTTTGCATTTAGGCACAGAGAGAGGGAGAAAGAGTGACAGAAGACTGACCAATTTGAAACTAAATTAAATACATTCTGACCCCATAAAAATATTTTATATGCAAGTTTCAATGCTTTAAAAAGTGATTTACAGTGCAGAGTGAGTAGAGTGAGGACAGTGCATTTTGGGATGGTGATGTGAGGATGGGGTGTGGGTGAGGGGCATGTGTGTGGGTGAGGGGCGGTGCTTGCATTACTTGATATGGAAAACCTCATGTTTCTTCACAGTTTGTCAGAAATCTTGACAGCTTAAACCTTTGAGAAAAATGTCTGTCGAACAACTCTGCACAGCTTCTGCCTGTGGAAAGAAACTTAAAGTGACGGATTTGCTGAAAAAAGGAGCAAAAGTTAATGGATTTAATAAATACAAAAGGACTGCACTGCAGGTTAGTAAGAACTTGAATACATTTCATCATATTTTTGTTATAATGTACTGTTAAATGCATGCTGTTTGACATTATCTAACTATATTCAGTAAATTGTGTTTATTATTTGGTAATAGTTATTACTCAGTGGATAGTGTGCTGGACTTCGAATCAGGGGATAGCAAGTTCGAGTCCCACTGCAGTCAGCATGTCGTTGTGTCCCTGAGACACTTCCCCCCAAAGTACTCCTGTGGGGATTGCCCACATACTGAATGTATGTAAGTCACTTTGGATAAAAGCGTCTGACAAATGACATGTAATGTAATGTTATTAGCTATTTTAAACAGCTATATGAGGAAGTCTGTGGACAGAGAGGTTTTGGGGAATTTGTAGCAAACCTTCATCAAAGGAAATAGTGATTTTGAAGATAGAACAATGAGATCCTGTCACCTGCAGTTTCACAATGGAAAGTATTTCTGGTGTTTATTTCGTACTTGATGCTAAAAAATAAAGAATAATCCCATTTCAGTTACCTATGAGGGGAAATGCATGTTACATTTTAAGGTGTAAAAGTTATAAAAATTGAGGAAATGGGGAACCCGGCCTGTAACAAGATGGCTGCTGAAAAAAAGTGCCATCTCACCTCTTGATCCTGTTCTTTTTTAAAATTTAATTTGTGTGCATGCCTCTGTATAAGTTAAGCCTCTAAATCTCTGGACTGTCCCTTTGTTATAATTATGTATGGACCCAAGGCAGAGAACAAACCACTCTTTACTTTTATAAACTTGTATCTGTATTTCCATTATACGTTAATTTCAGTGGTGGAAGAAGTACTCTTCTACTGAAGTTATATTACAAATTATACAGTGTAAAATGACTCTGTTAAAAGTCCTGCAATCATAATCTTACTCATGTAAAAGTACAAAAGTGTTGGCATCAAAATACTCACATTTCCAAAAGGGAACGTTTTTACATAATGTCCCATTTAAGAATAATATATATTACATTACTGGATTCATATTTTTTTTAACAAGAATGTGGTCATCACAGCTGATAAAAGTGGAGGTATGCTTATAATTAGTGGATGTATGCTGCTGGATATTTGACCATATAGCTAGTTTATTTCTTAGTTTATTTATATTTTGTATTTGCTAATCATTTGAATCTGTAAAGTAACTCATTTTATCAAATGCATGTAGTGGAGTAGAAAGTGGAAGTACCCGTGTAGGAATACTCTGTTATAGTCCTTGATTCAAAATGTTACTGAAGTAGGCCTAAAGTATAAGCGTATAGTAAAATAACTTATTATGCAAATTGGTCCATTTCAGAATAATATATATGATATGTTTTATAATGATTGATCATTAATGTAGGAGCCATGACACATGTATAGTAGCCTAATGTGTTTTGTTTTAATGGGTGCATTCCATAGACTGTAGGTGCATGCATTCACACCTGCCTTGTATAGTCCGGTTGAATCAAACCCTGGTGCGTTTCGCCGCTTGGTTCGTTTGGGTCGGTGTGAACACAGTCTGAGACCTCTTAAGTGAACTAAACAACCGGACTCTGGTCCGCTAAAATAGGTGGTCTCGGAGCGCTTGCTAGTGAACTCTGGAGCGGATCATTGCTGGTGTGAACGCAGTCCAACCAAAACATAAGAAGCGTAGTATTTACGAGTCACAAGAACGCGGAGGTCTTCAAAATCTTTAGCGAAAGAGTCTTTCAAGACATCCGCGGTTGTTTAGTTAAAGAGTGAAGCAGAATGAAGTGTTGAACAGTGTCGTGTAAAGTCAAAATTCTCCGTCAACTATATACAAGTCAGAGCCACCTGTCGTCGGTGAAACGCCCTCCTGACTGCAGAACGTCTCATTATATGTGTTATAATGTTTTTTAACGGACGTTGTCTGATTATATAATCATATGCGCGGGCCGCTAGAGTCTGTTGATCTCCAGACTAACAGCTGCATGAGAATAACCTGCCGAAAGTGCCGATGCTCCATGGCGGAGGCTCCGGTAGAAATGGCCGGGATTTGCGTTTTTACCCCCTTAATGTCTGACCAATGGTTGAACAGCATTTCCGTGCACATGACTTGTGTTTAAAGTTTATAGTCCGTTTGAGTTTTGCCCGAACGCAAACCGAACCTTCTGAAAAATGAAACCATGTAGGGCCTAACAAACTGTCATCTGGTGCGCAACAGAGAAGCGGACTATTAGGTGTGAATGCACCCAGATATTTGTTTGATCACTATTGATTGGTTGGCTCGGGTCACACATGGATACGGGTCGGCACTCGTGTGTGTGTGTGTGTGTGTGTGTGTGTGTGTGTGTGTGTGTGTGTGTGTGTGTGTGTGTGTGTGTGTGTGTGTGTGTGTGTGTGGAAGAGAGGGTGACACAGGGCCGTTGTATTTTTTGTTGACCGCAAGATGTATGATTGCTTTGATCATTATTATTACAATGTCTATGTGATCACCACGTATTTTTCATTAAACTACAATACAATTCAACAGAGTTTTGATCTCAGCAAGTACTCTTTTTAGCGTGTCATAATATCAAACAGGCCCGGCCTCAGCAGCCTCTCAGCGATTTAGTTTGTTTCCTGTCGCTAGGCTATAAAGTGTTCTCAAAGCTGGTGAAGGTGCAGCTAGTCTGAAGTACTTTGTATACTGCAGGGTAGCTGGTGGATTTACTCCAGGTGGAACTAAAGTCTGATTCAACACTTGATTAGATTTCACATCATTCATCCACATCTGTGAAGTAGGCCTAACTAAAGGTATTAAATACATGTAGTGGAGTAGAAGTACACCATTTACCTCTGAACTATAGTGGAGTACAGAAGTATAAAGAAACATGAGATGGAAATACTCAAGTAAAGTAATACCTCCATTTTAGTATAGTAAGAAACAAAACATTGAAATAGTCTCTCAAACCTGTACCTAAGTTGGCCTACATTACTTGAGTAAATGTAAAGTCACTTCCCTCATGATACAAACTTAAGTAAAGTGCAAGTAGCCTACTCCAACATTGAAGTGCAATAGCCTACCTAATGTACTTCACACCACTGGTTAATTGAATGGATAATTCATTATTGTGAGTTTCTCATCTGTGTGTCTGCAGGTGGCGAATTGGGCCTGTGTCGAAGTGGTGGAGGCGCTTCTCTCCGCGGGGGCCGACTTCGACATCCGGGACCCTGTCCTGGGGCTCACCCCGCTGCACGACGCAGCGCGCGCCGGTTACATCGGTTCTGTGGAGAAGCTCGTGCAATGCGGCTCAGATGTAAACCTGTGTGATAAGCTCGGTAACCTTCCGCTGCACCTGGCCACCATGGAGGGAAACCTGGAGGTTATCCGGCTGCTGATCCCTCTCACCGTAGACCCCCGGGCCCGCAACGCGGAGGGATACAACGCCGGGCAGCTGGCGCACAAGGAGGCGGCCAAATACATCGAGGATTATTTGAGCTCAAGTGAGTGGTGGTCTGCTTTGATGTCTGGCAATAAAATAACTTCCTGTCCACAAATCCAAATCTGTTTTTTAACCCTCCTGTCGTGTTCGGGTTAAATCTGTCCGATTAACCACTTTTATATAGATATTGTGTTAAACAGGAGGGTTAAAAAACGCATAATTTTCAAACATATATGTTACATAAGCCTATATTTGTATTTTGTATGCTAAAAAATAGCAGGCTTTATCAAGCTGTGGTATTATTCTGAAAGAGAAATAGAAGCCTTGCATGTGTTTTTTCAAAAATCTATTTTTTTCTCCACATCAAAAATGTGCCCCCCAAAAAGGCTAGTATAGCTATAGCCTATATAAAGTAGTCAGTATTTTATAACGGTTTAGGGTGTTAGAGAGCGGCCGATATAAGCATCTGTTGACGGTGCATAATTGGTTCTTAATTTAAAAACTACATTCCATGCCGAGATTTCGTTTAGATCTGTCACTCCAAAATTGAAACGGTGAAAAGGTAAACATGAGGCTTATACTGAATGTGGGTCTAAATCAGAAGTAGCTATAATAAAGATTCAGCATTAGTATACAGTGTATAACATGGTTTCTGAATTAACAGCTATAGCCCGTTTAAAGGCCTACCTTATGAGCTGTAGCCTGAAGGGGCAGCAGATATGCCTGTGTGTGTGTGTGTGTGTGTGTGTGTGTGTGTGTGTGTGTGTGTGTGTGTGTGTGTGTGTGTGTGTGTGTGTGTGTGTGTGTGTGTGTGTGTGTGTGTGTGTGTGTGTGAGCACGTTTAGACAACTATAGAAATATAGTTTCATGTTTTGGGGATTTAAGCACATTTTGGTTAGCGCAATGGCATTTAAGTTAGCCCATACTTGCTAAACAGATAAACCGATATATCATATGAATACGATATTGAAATGAGAATAAAACAGACCAATATATCGGCCTAGAGGCCGGTACCCCCCCGTTGACAATTGATTAGCGGTACCGAGTTGGGCCGGTCGGCCGGTCGAGTTTCCCCGGGCTGATTTTTAGTCCCAGTCCGCCCCCACGACTAGGCCTCCTAACTGCCAAAAGGGTGCTTCTTTGAACTGTTAAATCAAATTGAGGAATAACATTATGTATATCAGCTGCCGAATTGATAAGCGGGGACACATAATTAAGTATGGCTTACACGTCGATGATGACAAAACCGAGCGTTTTTTAAAGTGAGTCTGGTATCCCCCTCCAGATAATAATGGACTGTTCCGCAAACACATCGAATCAACGGCACAATAATTAGCTAGTGATAGGCTACTCGTAAAACAGAATAACAAAGTCACTATGGGTTCTGCAGGCTTTGGGATGTTCCCCAAACATATATTCACTTTTTGTCATTAGCCTTTGTAAATAATTAAATGTCAAACGAGATGTAATATTTGCAGTAGGCTAGTCCTCCACGGAGGAGCCAAAAGGGAGCACGTGTTTTTAACGTTTTTTAAATCATTGTTATTGGAACAAATAGCGTAATTTCTGTAATGACACTGAATCAAACAGCAGTGTTTTCAAAGCATAATCGAGAACACTTTCATTTTCGATGGCAGGTTTTCAAAGAGGCTAAAACCCTTTTGTAATCTCCACAGACCAGCCGTGATGTGACTGAGGCTACTGATACCTATTTTTTTTAACAAGGGTAATAATGTATTTGATGCATACGAGTCAAACATGAAAGCGTGACCTAACACGACCTCTAATGATGATTCATTAAATTCAAACATAATTTCATTGTGACACCATCAGCGTTAAACGGGATGATATTACAACATAACAGTCACTTCTGGAAATCAGTAGGCCTACCAGCCACACAGGGATTCATATGGGAAATACAAGCGTGTTATAAAGTAGCCTATATTGAAAACGAAACAAAACCCAACTTTATTTATTATAAAAACACACACGGTTTCACACTAACCCCAACTGTGTGTCCCGGTGTGTGTGTGTGTGTGTGTGTGTGTGTGTGTGTGTGTGTGTGTGTGTGTGTGTGTGTGTGTGTGTGTGTGTGTGTGTGTGTGTGTGTGTGTGTTGTCTTTCTACCGGCTGTTAAGCTAACGTTACACTGTGGCTAAGACGTACACACCTTGTTTCCTGGCTCGGCATTAGTGGACGTTTTTGGATTGGTATTCTGCTGCTGCGACCCATCTTTAAAATAAACTGACCTGTCGGAGCCATCAGAGCATGTGGGCCTACTTACAGTAAAAAAATAAAAGCACTCATTCTGAACAATGGCCCATTTCAGAACAGCTTCTCAGGTGTCCCGGAGTGACTGTTGGTTTGCAACTACAGCACATTATATCATGTTAACATAAGTTATTGTGTAACTTCTTGAGAAGACAAAGACTAGACAGGAGAGGGCAGGATGTGGAGATATTGTGCAGGAGACTTGAGTGAGTCCCTGAGGACTTTTAGAAAGTCTAATTAGGGAACTAGTTCTACCAGAATACCAGAAATCTCTAAAATAATAAAGCACTGTCTATTCAGCTGTTTAAGAGCCAGGGCAGGGTGGAGCTTTCATTTTTGAAATCCCCTTTTTGTTCATGACTCATGATCAACACATTCTTATCAGGGTTATCTAAAGTCACAACACCATTATAATAACGATGCACATATGATTGCTGCACTTAAGTATTGCATTATTGTCACACTGTTTAAGATTTAGATGTGTTTAGATTTGTTTTCTCTTCTCTCTCACAGACTAAAGGACGAAGCAGATGAAGACGATGAAGATGAATCATTCTGCATTTCTGCTGATTCTTGGGAATGCAATTGGGAAAACTTTGTACATTTGCATCTCCTGCTTTGAGAGAAACGGGAGACACATGTTTGTAATAAAATAAGATTGACTTTTATTCCCTCGTGGGGAAATTGTTTCTCTGCATTTGACCCATCCTAGTGTTAGGAGCAGTGGGCTGCCATTTTGAACGGCGCCCGGGGAGCAGAGTAGGGAAGCACTAGGTCTTGCCGGGACTTGAACTGGTGACCTTCCAGTTGCCAAGCCAAGTCCCTATCGACTTCACCACCACCGCCCCCAAAAATAAACAAAAATGCTCTTGCATGGCCATGATTTATTCTCATAAAGATATATTTTATTTGGTCTTTGGCCTCACACTTGTTTGTAAAGAGCAGGAAGTGTCACTTTAGCTGCTGTGTATCACATGGGGAGGCCTGCATTATTCAGCAAATAGGACATTGGTTCCTATTTTTCTAATTTGATCCATTTAGCTGAGTCCTTTCCCATCAAATAACAAGTTTAACTTAATAAGTTAATGAGTTATATCCATTGAGTTACCACCTAAAATCTATTCAATTTGAATCAAACAGCACTTTTCCTGTCTTATAAAGTAATGTAACCCCATTTCAAAGAAGCATGACTTCAACTCATGTTATCAACGATAGGATACATGTTGTTTAAAAAGGGGACCCTGACATTTTTATTACCCCTGTATTGAAAATCATGAGATGAACAAAAACGTGTTAACCCCCTCTCCTTCTTTCTCTGCTGGTAGAGTAATGTGAATGTAAAAGCTAAATATATGTATCAAATGCATAAACAATCTGACTTAATAAAACACTGCAATGAATTCCAGGCTGTTCCCATTCTTATCAATGAGTGTGAGAGAGAGAAAGTCTATAATAAGAAACAGACCTCACTTACCAGCAACTGAGATGAGACCATGAGAATCAGAAACAGAATCAGAATCAGAAGCAGGTTTATTACCAGGTAGGTTGACACGTACGAGGAAACACACATGCATAATGAATAAGAATGTATTGGGTGGGTCCAATGTGCTGTTAACCACCGGAAATCGCCTTCTGTTTCTGTGTAAACTCCCTCGACAGCTCGCTGCTCTCTCTGCTGCAGCTGCGTCACCCGGATCTGTGGCTCAATTCCAAACCACACCACCCCGTGATGGAGTGAACTGTCTGTAGTCACTCTCTGAATGAGGCTCCTTTCTTTCAGACGGAGGGTTTCAGAACAGCAGCAAGCTTTGAGACGAACTCTCTATCTCCGGTAGAAACAGGAAATGCCATCATTTTCGTAACAACGGTTTAAAATCAGCATCTCCTGGATTAGAAATAATAAAAATAAAACTCTAAAAATCTTTTATGGCATATCTTTTTTGTAAATAATAAATAATTTCGTTTTAAAATCTGATGTTTATAAGCTGCTTAGTTTTAGCAAAAGTCCATGTAATAATACATAACTTTGACCGTTTTCTAGACTGGACATGAGTAAATGATCCTAAATGTAAACAAATACGAGGTAACCACAGACCCGACGGTAGACTTACATCTCTGGGCGGGCATTTGTTTTACCAGGGCGGGCCCACCACGACACTACATTTCCCGGGAAATCTGAATTGTCAACGGGGGGGGGGGGGGGGGGGCTGTTAGATGCTCGCGATTTGTCAACGGGGGAAGAGGAGGGAGGCGCTCGTGAATTGTTGAAAGGGAGGGTTTTAGGTTGCCATAAGGCTGTTGACGGTCTTATGTATCTATTGGTTGGTTTTGTGGCACATTGGTAACGCTATGCCAACTTGGGCAAGCACGCAGGCAAACTTGACGCACACAGGGTGGAGAGGTGGAGTGAGGGTGAGCGATGGAGAGAAAGGGAGAGAGAGAGAGATTGAGCGAGGCAGAGAGCCTGTGCAGCGGTCTGCTTGCGCACAGAGCAGGAGTTTGTGAGAGAGCCGGCTTGAGAGTAGGCCTACATTTCTCTTCAAAATATAATTGATTGCTAGCTGACTTTCTTGCTCGTTGGTAACGTAGGCCTAACTGATTTCTTCTAATGTGCTGCATCTGGCGCTGAGTTGCCATATTCCTTTCGTGAACCACTAGCAAGAGTAAACTAACTGACAGGCTGCTGTGCCGCATCTCACTCAAAAACCCACACGACTCAACCCAGCGAAAAACCAGTCTTGCGCGCAGCCTTTCATTCAGAATTTCCTAGCAAAATAAAAAAATTATTTAAACTAATACAAAAATAAATATTAGGACAAAGCCCTACAAATAACAACAATAAACATAATAATAAAACAATAAAAATGTGGTATTCAGCCCTGATTAAAACAGCGGGCCCAAATCCTGGATGGGCGGGCCCGCCCATGACGCCGGGTCTGGGTAACCATGAAGTTGGTCACACATGTATGGAGATAATAGCTCTTGTTGTGCAGTTTATCAGTGAATGTTTCCACCCAACTAGGCCTACTTATAAACAGCGTGTTTCATGACGGACACAAACAGCGTTGAGTCCGGTCAGATAGTGCAGCAGGTGAAGTCAGGACCGACTGTCTGACACATGGATGTATAATAAGAACGAATATGTGTGGATGGATTGTTTACCCAAAGCACTAGCAAATGCAATATATTGAAGACAAGAATTGGAGGACATTTTCCGTCCCACCTATGATATAAAAAAAATATCTGAGCCCAAAATGATAAAACACTTTTTGACAAGTTTATTTATTTGGTATTTACAGAGTTCTATCAACTTGTACGACATGTCAGTTTGTGAAACAAAAACCACCAAGCAGCCGTTATGTTCTGTTGCAATGACTATTTATTATTCTCCAGTATTACATTACATAACATATGAATGCTCTCAAACAAGGAAAGGTGTACCAAGCATTCACAAACACACCCCATTCACATATGAGCAAACCATGATGTTAAATCCTATTAGAAGCAGAAAATCCACCATAAAACAGCACTCAATCATTATTCCTGTATGTGTGGAGCTTTTTAAACAAATAAGTCTGTCTGGAGATTACCGGAACAATTTTGAGCTGTAAGAGAACACAAATAACTGAAGCATTTCCAAAAAGTCACATGCTTGTCCATTTAGTTTTTTTAGTAAAACAGTTTCACTTTTGAGTCGCCATGACTATTTGCCTTGTAGTGAAGATTAACAGATGTGTCTTTGGTAATAAACTAAAACCCAGACACACAGACTTCATTGTTTCCAGGTTGAAAAAAAACAGTATTCTACTTAGAAATGTAAGTTACTTGTACTTCAACTTCCACATTATGCTACTTTATACTTTAACTTCACTACATTTTCTGGTCAAATGTTGTATTTTTTACTACTTTTGTTTTACAGCTTTGCAGAAGAGTGAAATTAATCAAATAGATTTTCATCTAATAAATGATTGTGTATTTGTTGTAGGTTACCCAGCCGTAAATTAAATAATTAAATAAAACCATATCTTCACAGATGCAACATTAAAGAGATAAACACAATAATGCATGAATAAAAATGATAAAATCCTTTATATGATTCTGAAATGAGCCATACTTTTACTTTTGGTACTTAGGTATATTTTGATGCCGTTACTTTTGTCCTTTTACTTGATTACGAATTTGATGGAAGGACTTGTATTTGTGTTTTCCCCCTGTGCATCTTCTTGTTTCTCAAAGTGAACTGGACTCCACATTTTAGCAGCTGATGTCAACCGTCACTGACATGTAACCTAAGGCCATGAAGATCTTACTGACGGAGGAAAGTGTACAACATAAAGAGTTACATAGTTAAAGAGTTGTGCAAAGAAAGGAAGGTGCCGACTCCAATCGCACACACACATGCACCCACAGATCAACGAAGGCATGTTTTCAAACTGTGTTGGATCTGTATCGTGCCCGTTATGCAGCGAGGAGCATAAATGATTAAGAATTTCTGCTTGCTCAACGTAGGAGGGCAAACGTTGTCTTTTGTGCTTCAACGGTAAACTGGTAGACTTGGGCAACGACATTTTAAAACAAAGCATTTAGATTATGGGTTAAGATTAAACTCTTCCGCGAATGATTGCTTTCGGTTTCACAACATATGCCAAGGCTTTCTTTTCAAATCATCGCAATAGTAATGAGAATGTGTAGGTAAAGGAGATACTCCACTCTGACATTATTTCTGAATGCATATGGTACATAGTCTAAATCAGAAGTGCAAATATAACTGGCTTGTATCAATGGTTTGGTGCTTAGGTCAGTAATCTCACTGTGACTCGACACTGAAATGTTGATTTTAATTAAATATATTATATCAACAGATTACAGTATTAGGTTAGTTGAAAGCAATAACATCAGGTACAAGTTAAAGGTGGGGTCGGTAATGTTGGAGAAACCAGCTCGAGTGCGCTAGAATTTGAAAATACACAGCCGGAAAAAATCTGCCACTTCCTTACAGAGCCCCTCCTCCAACACACACGAACGCGCACATGACCAATGAGGGCACGAGATAAGTTTGTGCACAGATGGAAGGCTGACAGGCAGGTAGGCCATCCAGTTACTTTAGCCGGCTCAGATGATTGGTCGTGCTTTTTACAGGACCACGGCTTCCACTGATGACATTTTGTTATGGATTTTTTGTCAAAGCACTTCAGATATTCATTGCTATCGGGATGTTAAGAGCATTCCATGGAATATAACAACAAGTGTATCTCGAGCCGGTTTCTCAAACTTACCTACCCCACCTTTAACATTATTGCTTTCAACTGACCTAATACATACTTCACAGCAACAGTCTCACATTAGTGACTAAAGCACAAGCTTATTTCCTTTTTTGCCACGTCTGTGTTGTTGGTGGTTTAAAGAAGCCCTTACTGTTTTCTGACCGACAAAACAAACACAGGACAGATTTCACAAACCCACGGGACGATCTATCAATCCACCACCAATATTGTTTTTTTAATAGATGTGCAGGCAGACAGCAATACCATGAGGCCTGTGGTGTGTCTGCTGGTTATATATTATGTTGCAGTCTTTAGTCTGAAGTCCAGCTCTTGCAGTCTTTTCTGTTACTCCAACATCTGTAGGAGTTTTTGCATCAAGTGGTGTCAGTTTTCAGACACGTCGCGCAGATCTTGAAGGTGTGTCATTAATCATTACTCACGCTTAAGCAGTAAAACAAACACGGATGTCCTTCTTCCTTTTTTCTGGTAACATCCATGATGAAAAATGAATAAAGGAAGTGTGTGACTGGTCGACGTGTTTGTTTCCGGCATATAAAAGTAATCCTTACTCTAATAATATCAGAAAATCTTACTTCCTTTTACACTGGAAAACCCATATTTTCACTTCCGGGTTTTCACCTTCACGTTGCTTCCTCATTGTTCTTAACACAAAAAACACCTTCGATCCTGTCCAGCAGGTCAACTGGGGGACTTGTGCGGCACACACACAAACACACACAGTTCATCCGAACATTTTACAATGTCACTTTTTATATCAGCACCTAAATAATCCAGGATACAGGTTTGCAAGATGTAAGCTGTGTGCATAGTGTATGTGTGAAAACCCTGTGGTGTGTCTGTGGGAATATAGATGTGTGTGTGTGTGTGTGTGTGTGTGTGTGTGTGTGTGTGTGTGTGTGTGTGTGTGTGTGTGTGTGTGTGTGTGTGTGTGTGTGTGTGTGTGTGTGTGTGTGTGTGTGTGTGTGTGTGTGTGTGTGTGTGTCAGTTGGTCTCATAGGAGGAGAGCAGCGCGGCGTCCACAGGCTCCATGCAGGAGGGGCAGGTGAAGGACCTCATCAGCCAGTCGTCTATACAGTCCTTGTGGTAGATGTGCATGCAGGGCAGGAACCGGATGGGGTCTCCGTACTCGAAGTCCATCATACAGATCACACACCTGTGGGAGGGAACACAGAAACATGTCATTAGGGGCTGATTGGACCGCACAGAAAAAAGAGCATGAAGCTCCATAGACTTGAATGGTTTGCGGTGCATAGTTCAATTAAAGAGGCCCTGTTGGAGCCAGAGTTTTGTTTTTATAAGAAAGGCCACCTAATTGTGACGTCTGTAGTCAACACACTATCAAAGACTACAATTCCCACGGCGCCTCCTCTAAAAGCAGTGGTGAACCGTATCTATCACAACTGGACCTTCTGTAGACACACACACACCCCGCCCCCGCCCCCCCCCCCCTCCGCGGCATTATAATGTCCGTCTTTTCACTGAATTGTCGTCTTGAAAAGGGTACTCACAACAATTCCGCAACAACTTCATCTTCACCTGTTGCACTTGTCATTTCAACGTTAAAAACAAAAAAACGGCATGAATTGCTTCGTCGCATTCATCTAGATCCTCTGTCTCGAGCCAGTTAACTAGCGGGCCTTCTAGAATACCCTGGAACCGAGGGGAACTCTGAAAGAACACGCCCATTGGCTACAAATCAATATATGATTGGTTGATCAAACTGTCAGTCCAAACGTACGCTCTCATTCAGTGCAACGGCCAGGGCATTCGATCAAGGATGTAGAATACCTTGTTGAAGGATATTCTACCCAGAGACCCAGAACAAGATCTGATTGGTTGCTTTCTTTTCCAACACAAAACCACTGAAATGCGTAGAGCATGGTCCGAGAAGGACAAACAAATCAACGTAACACTGTAATATTACAGATCAACAACACAGATACCATTCTCAATTATTCATTTTATTACACAATTAGTTTTATCTGAGTGTTCCAGGGTATTCTCTGAATACCTTGAAGGCCCTGATGGTTCGCCACTGTCTAAAAGGGACAGTGATGGACAACCTGTTAGAAAGACGCCGTTGAGGAACAGTTTTTAACCGTCCAATTACCCTTTAAGTTATTAAGTGATATAAGCCTTATCAAGAAAGAAAGAATACCTGGTGGTTGTTATTTTATTGGAGTTTCTATTTGTTTTGACTCTTGTAAAGGCCTCTTTTCTTTGTTGCATGTGTAAAAGTTATTTTATTTTGAGCAAACCCATCGCATAATATCATTCAATCCATCGGAGGCCAAGCACCTCTTCAACTGTAAGTAATATAAAGGAAAGAAAACGGGTAAAACATTTGTGTTTAAGGCGTCTAGTGGCTTGATAGAAAAACAAGGAAGGAAGCCACGACAGGCCCGATTTCGCTTTTGGACATCACTATGTTACACTCACACTTTTATTAGGTTGTTTCAGAAACTTGAATTCATTTCCTTCCTGTTCTCAGACAGTGACTCACATAATGTTATTATATCATGTTTCAGACAGACACCCTGATCTCTGCTGTGTGTAGCTCCCACTCTCGAGTGTGACCCCCCAGCGGTTCTACTCACTCTCTGATCTTCTTCTCAGAGCCGTCCCTCCCCGGGTCGTACACCCCCTTCGGGAGGTGATGGATGAGTCCGATTCTCTGAGCGATGCGGATCTGCTCCTCCTCCGTCAGCTGAGAGGCCAGTCGGGACCGGCTGGGCGTCGGGTGATAGACCGGCACATGGATCTGCTCCTGAGAGAGAGAGAGAGAGAGAGAGAGAGAGAGAGAGAGAGAGAGAGAGAGAGAGAGAGAGAGAGAGAGAGAGAGAGAGAGAGAGAGAGAGAGAGAGAGAGAGATAGAGAGAGAGAGAGATAGAGAGAGAGAGAGAGAGAGAGAGAGAGACACAAGGCACATTTATTTATAAAGCACTTTTCAACACAAGGCCATTCAAAGTGCTTTTACAAAAATGAAAGACATTAAGAGCATAAAACACATTATAAACATTAAAAAGCAAAGATAATAAAACATGAATAACAGTGCAGTGTGAGATGTGAATAGTTAAAAGCAGCGACAAAAAGAAAAGTCTTCAGCCTGGATTTAAAAGTAGTACGAGTTGCAGCGGACCTGCAGGTATCTAGGAGTTTGTTCCAGATATTTGGAAATATCCCGAGCTCAAGTCATCACATTCCTCGACCCCTGGTCCAGGAAATGATAGTTCAAGGGATGAACTGCTGCCTTTGTGCACAGTTTATACAAAGAGGTCATTTCAGGACTCAAATCATCACAGCTCTGTTGTGATGACTGCATTGCCGCAGCAAACACTGATTCTCCCAATGAATCGTTTCATTGCTTGCTCTACAAAAATGTCAACAGTTTTTAAAATGCCTTTAACTATAGTCTAAAACTCAAGAATGCCCCGGTCACACGAGGCGAGAGAGCTGCAGAACATTCTCATATCTGATGAGCAAAAAAAGAGGATGCTTGGGGGGGTTTACGATTATTAAATGACGTTAATGATTCATTGATTTTTGTATTCATTTATTTATCTGATTATTTCCTCTTGAAATGTTGTGTTTGAATTATCTTGTTAAACTTCAGACAACACACTTGACATTTGAATCTAAAACATGAAATATTTTCTTGATTTATAGAAACATATATTTTCTTTCAACAGTGCCACACACACACACACACACACACACACACACACACACACACACACACACACACACACACACACACACACACACACACACACACACACACACACACACACACACACACACACACACACACACACACCATGTATACATCACTTCAGGGGACATTACATTGACTTACATGCATTTCCTGGAGACTTATCCTAACCTTAACCATAACCAAGTCTTCACCCTAAAATTAATGATTCCCCTCATGGGGACCTCCATTTTGTCCCCATAAGGGAAGCCAGTCCCCACAAGTGACTGTGTAAACAGATGTAGGTCCCCACAAGTATAGTAATGCTAGGACACACACACACACACACACACACACACACACACACACACACACACACACACACACACACACACACACACACACACACACACACAGAGGCAACACACACACACACACAGGCATTCGGGAGATTGTTGCAGCGAAGGCAACAGCTAGTATTTGTTTACTCCATAGATGAGTGATAGACAACCTCATTTTGGTAACTTTGATTTTTTAAATTTAAGTTTCAATATTGTCAAACAGTATATATTTTTGTTGTTATAAATAAAGTTTTTGAGCTTAAATCAACCGACTAAGCCTATGTTTACAAATGGACAAATAGAACCCCGTCACATGGGGTTTTCCCCTTGCTGTAGTGCGGTGCGGTGTGGAACCTTTTTCCTCTCAAGGGCCATGTCAATGTTTACACTGACAAACACTAAATAATAAAGACTTTGCACCATGAATACTGTTGTTTATTAAATCTCTGCCCTCCTTCATTTCCCTTCAAACCTTTGTGAGGTGTTATTCTTAAAACAATCCCTGCCTGTGAAAAGAGAAGGCCTGCAGCACAGTAACTCTCAGAGTCTATTGATGTTCAGGATTAAATACATCTCTGGGCCTGTAGGAGGATTATGAGGCCATGAGGTGGTAGTGTTTCCACATGTCTTAAACTCAACTGTGTATCTGCGTTGTTCGCGTCATGCAGGCCTGATTTATGGCCTTTATCTTTATTAATTTGACAGTATTATTAGACAGCAAAGCAGTATTTCATTATGTCTGTACGCATCTGTCATATAGTGGTGAACAAAACCACATGTGTAAGGAAAGTAACAAATCAAAATGTTTCAGGGTTTCAGTATCACACGGAGTCAAACAAATAAAAGAAATATGACAGTTTTAATACTGCGCCCTAAATCTGTACAATATATTACACTGTAAATACATATTGTTGGATATGTGGATGACTCATTAGTTGAAATATTGCAAAGAAAAAGGAAAAAACACTTTGTCACACTTTGAAACATTTAAACAGAAAGTTGCTGCTTTTCTCTTTCTGTAAACTGATTTTTTTGTGTGTGACCTTTTAGACATTTGAAAAACACACTTTAGGCTCAGGATAATTGTGATGGTCAACTATTATCTGACATTTATCAGAGAAAGCGGGTAATCTAGAAAAGGATCTGGAAATAATTGTTAAATGGACAACCTTGCACTACGTACATTCCCTAAGATATTTGTAGAGGCTTTCTAACCTTATCACTGAGGGTGGGGAGGCGTGTGGTGCAGTGGATTGTGAGTTGGTATTCGGATCAGGAGGTCACAGGTTCAAACCCCACTGCAGTCAGCATGTCGTTGTGTCCCTGAGACACTTCACCCCAAAGTGCTCCTGTGGGGATTGCCCACAGTATTGAGTATGTAAGTCGCTTTGGATAAAAGCGTCTAACAAGTGACATGTGATGTAATGGATGGGAACGGGAGAACTAAGTTCGGACGCGTGTTCCAGATGACAAAACAATGTCCATACGGAGTATATCTGCCAATCCATCGATCCATTTTGTTACCATGTTGATTGTATCCATATTGCCTTTCTGTTACCATTTAGATACCAATATATGCATGCCAGCCAGTCACGCTGAATACAGACAGATTTAACACACAGCTCATCGACACGGCGTCTGCCGACACGGTCGAAAACGGTTTGCTACCGTCCCACACACCTGATCACCCAGTGATTACATGTATACACACTCACAAGTGAATAATCCATCTTGTGTTCATTGTTGGAACTCTATCGTTAAACTTGTGCAGATAAAATACAAACAAAGACACATGCATTATGGCTCCAACCGTATTGAAGTGATGTTATTTTGTATATATTGATTGTTGTGTTTTATCTTAATGTGTGCACATGTGTAAATGTGTCTGTTGATTGTATGTATATATAGGACATACATATTTTATACATATTCGGGATTGTGGGAAACGTATTTCGATCTCTCTGTCTGTACACAAACTGAAAGATTGACATTAAAGTTGACTTTGACTAAAAAGCAGAAATATGTTTTAATTGAAGCCCTAACTAAAAAGCTGTTTTTTTTGTACTATTATTAGAGTATAATACCGGACCTAACATAGAAAATATTAGCAAGCATTCAGCTGCCGTGTGCTCTTCCATGAACTCTTGATATATGTTCCCCTCTCTCCCTTTGCGGTTCCTGATAGACTCACTTCAGAGTTTTGGGTGTGCACACTTCTTCCTCCTTTCCGCTCTGTAACAACTCAAACCGAAACTCCAGTTACTCTCCATTTGCTTCTCTTTTTTGAGTCGTAGTAAGAGAAAAAGTCCCCAAGTTCAAAATAAAAAGGGACAAAGGGTAAAGGTGCATTATTTCAGCCTGAATACTTTGAGGACTTTCTTTAAATGAATAAAAGGTTAGTTTAATAATGTCCTTCTATAGTAACAAGTAACCTGAAGCACCCGACTGAAAATAGTTTTGGCTCTGAAAAAAATAAGAATTTAATGATTAAATCTATATTTCTAGTATATAGTCAGTAATTCTAGATCATGCGGTCTACTCAGGGGTTAGGGGTTTGTGAGTCCATGCTATATTCAGCTACTATTGAGTGATCTTTGCAAAGTGTGAATTAAAAGCACTTAAAAAGGAAATGGCTAAACTGTCCACTGGAGGCTGAGCGAGTCAATCTCTCTGCACCACCATGTTAACATCCGGGAGATAAAAACACATTTTGTTTTCCAAACCTCATTTTACAATTCATGCAGGAATATTGGGGTGATTTTGTTAACATTGTAATTATATATAGGCTTACGTTTATGCATGTTTAAGGGCATTATTATACACTTGACAATGAAACATGTACGTTAATAAATCTACAATTTGATGCGAAACACAATTTGACCAATTGTGGAAAAGTTTCTTCGTCTCTTTCTGATGTTTTTTTGCAAATCCTTCATAAAAATAACATTTTGAAGGTTACCCTTTCAAGCTTTTTAAAACAATATTTCAGGTTGATTTTAAAGTCTTTATAAGAAGTTCAAACATTCAGAAAAATGATGACAAAGAAAGCAGTCAGGCGGCGTGACTTCAGTTATATGAGGCTCTGCTGCTCTCATGGCTGCAGACAGGGCCTCAGAGGGGGGCAGCAGGTGTGTGTGTGTGTGTGTGTATGTGTGTGTGTGTGTGTGTGTGTGTGTGTGTGTGTGTGTGTGTGTGTGTGTGTGTGTGTGTGTGTGTGTGTTAGAGTTAACTGTGCAGTGGTCAGCAGTGTAATTGTTGTCCCCTGACTCTCCCGTCCTTCATACATGGCGTGTCGGCCGGGCTGCGACAACTGTTCATTTAGTGACCTCAGGTTGACCAGAAGCACAACAATCCCAGTGAGACAGAGGGGAATACTGTGGTTATCATGCCTGTGCTGCAGCACCTCTTCTCACTGGTCTGAAGCCAGAGCAGTCAGTCCCACTCCTTAGCCTCTAATATAACTTATGTCTTGGAGCGCTAGCAAATCAAAGCGCGAGCATAATAAGGCCCTTTGTGCATACTGTACACAAACGGCTGTACGAGAATCCACCCCGAGAATTATATCATCCCATTCTCAGATGATACAGCCATCCTTGGCTTAATGCACAAAGGCAGCAGTTCATCGGCTTATCACTCTGAAATAGAGATATTTGTGCAGTGGTGTGATTTTAACCATCTAGTGCTGAATGTGAAGAAGACTGAGGAGATGGTGTGGGACCCAAAGGCAGTGGGTGCCCTTAG